ATCATTTTGTGAAGGGTGTAAATGTCTAATCATTATGTTGTTTTGTACACCTGAAATTAATATAAAAAAATAAACCAAACAAAAAAAGTAATGGCAAGGATATAGATATTGGAATTTTTCATGCATTGCTGGTGGGATTGTAAAATACTACAGCCACTATAGAAAACAGCATGATGGTGCCTCGAAAAATTAAACATAGAATTATCATATGATCCAGCAATTCCACTCCTAGGTATATACCTAAACGAATTGAATGCAGGGACTCAAACAGATATTTGTATATTAATGTTCACAGCAGCATTATTCACAATTGCCAAAAGGTGAAAACAATCCAAATGTCCACTGGTGAGTGAATGGGTAAACAACATGTGATATATACATACAATGGAATATTATTAAGCCTTAAAAGGAGTAAAATTATGAAACATATTACAATGTGGATAAACCTTGAAGACATTATTCTTAGTTAAATAAGCCAGAAACAAAAGGGCAAATATTGTGTGATTCCACTAGAGTAGTCAAATTCATACAGACAGAAAGTAATAGAATAGTTACCAGGGGCTCAGGGGAGAAAAGAATGAGGAGTTAGTGTTTAATGAATACAGTTTCAGTTTAGGATGATGTAAAAGTTCTGGCAATGGCTACTTGTGATGGTTGCACGACATTGTGAATGTACTTAATGCCACTAAATTGTGCACTTTAAAATGGTTAAAATAGCAAATTTTATGTTGTGTACATTCTACACAATAAAAAAGTTAAATAGAGATGTAGAAGACATAAAACACAACCTAAATCACATTTCTAGAGATGAAAAAGACAATGATTGCAATGAAAACCACACTGGATGAGATTAATGGCAGAGAAGATATGGCAGAAGATTAATGAATTTAAAGGCATAGCAATAGAAACTATTCAAAATGAAACACAGAAAAAAGAATTTTTTTTAAAAAAGGGAAAAGAGCCATCAGTGGTGGGACAACTTCAAGCAGCCTATCACACAGGTAATCAGAATTGCTGAAGGAAAGGAAAGAGGGGACAGAAAAACCACTTGAAGAAATAACGACCCAAAACTTTCCAAACTTACTGAAAACAGTAAACAGTTCCAAGAAGCTCAATGTACTCTAAGCACAAGGAATATGAAGAAAACTACACAAAAGTATCCATAATCAAATAGCTCAAATTCAGTGACATAGAAAAAGCAGTCAGAGAGAAAAGACTCATTACATACAGAGAGGACAAAGATAGGGACCTCAGATCTGTTGTTGGAAGCAATGCAAGTGATAAGACAATAGAGTAACATCTTTAAAGTACTAGGAAAGAAAAAAAAAAACTTGTCAACCCAGAATTCTATACCCAGCAAAAATAGCTTTCAATAACAAAGGTAAAATTGAGACATTCTGTTTTTTTTAGCTGAGCCATCCTGCCACCTGTTGGCAGCTCAGCAGCAGCTCAGCTGGGGCCAGGACTCGAACTGCTGTTGCTCGGAGCTTGCATTCTTAAGTGAGCTCTTAACCAACTGAGCCACTCAGCCGGCCCTGTGGAAACATTTTAGACATACAAAAGCTGTAAGAATTCCTCATTAGCAGATCCTCACTACAAGAACTGTAAAAGGATGTCTTTTAGGCAGATGGAAAATGATACCAGATGGAAACTGTATCTACACAAAGGAATGAAGGCCACTGGAAATGGTAACTACCACAGTACATACCGTATTTGCCGGCGTATAAGACGATTTTTTGGCCCTGAAAAATATGCCTCCAAGTGGGGGGTCGTCTTATACGCCAGGTACACTTCAGATAGACTGCCCATAGTGCTTGCCCCGTGCCATAGTGGTCTCCCGATGCCCGCCCACTTCATTCCACATACCGTTCAGGCATCAGCAGCGCTGCTGGGTGTATGCTCAGCTGTTATGCGATTTTGCTGTTATGCGATTTTACCACACTCGCAAAATTGCACACAGCCGACCATACACCCAGTATGATAGCGCAAAATCGCGAATCGCGATTTATGTATATGTTTGATTACATACAGCCTTGTGACAGTTTTCCTGCATGTCATAAGCATTTGAATATAAATATAAATGTTGAAATCAAATCTGATATTGTTTTACCTTTTATTTGGTGTGTGGAAGGTGTGCGGAAGAGGGGGTAGTCTTATACGGCGAGTATATAACAAACTCTGTATTTTGAGTGGAAATGTTAGGGGGTCTTATACGCCCAGTCGTCTTATACGCCGGCAAATACGGTATGTAAGATTTTTCTTATTATTTAAATTCTTTAAAGACTTGTTTAAATAAAAACAGCAACAGTACATTGTGGGGTTTATGACATAATGTAAAAGTAAAAAGGAATGACAACCATAATATAAAGGCTGGGAAGGTAGAAATGGAAGGTTCTTATACTATGTGTGAAGTTGTATAATATCACTTAAAGGCACTGTAATAAATTGAAGATATATACTATAAAGCCTCAAGTGTCATTAAAATATCAAAACAAAAATTTATAGACAACAAGCCAGCGAAGGAGATTAAAATATAAAGCATATTTGATTTATCCAAAAGAAGGCAGAAAAAGAAAAACAACAGATGGGACAAGAAACAAATGGCAGAATTACAGACTTAGACCTAGCCCAATCAATAATTACATTAAATGTACGAAGTGTGATCAGAAACTACGGTGAATGTTTAAATAAAAAAAATTATAGTAAAAGACACATTGCCATTAATCCTCAAAACAGTCCCCCTCGCTTCAAACACACTTATCCCATTGTTCTTGCCACTTTCTGAAGCAGTTCTGGAAGTCTTCTTTCATATCTTTAGTTGCGCTGCCGTGTCTGCCTCGATGTCCTGAATCGATTCAAAACGTTTTCCTTCCATGGTCATTTTGACTTTGGGGAAGAGCCAGAAGTTGCACGGTGCCAGATCCAGTAAATAAGGTGGATGGGGACACACCGTAATGTTTCTGACAGAAATTGCCATACCAGAAGCAATGTGTGACATGGAGCCTTTCTGTTGTGATCACAAAATATGGTGAATGCTGCTGCCGAGTGCCATCCAATGGAAAGGCAGAGATCTTCAATACAGGAAGCAGTTCGTCAAGCCTTAGTAACAGTGTGTGACAAGTTTCCACTTGTTCAGTGCAGTCAGTCTGCTGTGAGCTACAGTTGAGAGGTGTGTTTTAAAGTGTGCTGTAAATCATCCTTCAACATGACAATGTTCCGTGTCACACATCTTCTGGTATATGGCAATTTTTGTCAAATCAAAACATTACAGTGTGCCCTCATTCGCCTTATTCACCGGCCCTGGCACAGTGCGACTTCTGGCTCTTCCCCGAAGTAAAAATGATTCAGGACATTGAGGCAGCCATGACAATACAACTAAAGACACTCACTAAAGAGGACTTGCAGAGCTGCTTCAGAAAGCAAGAACGATGGGATAAGTGTGTTCGAAGCAAGGGGGAGTATTTTGAGGGGGATTAATGGCAATGTGTCTTTTACTGTAATAAATTTTTTATTTAAACATTCACCATATTGTTGATCACACATAAATGGTCTAAATGTTAAAAAGCAGAGATTGTAGGACTGAATAAAAAAGCAAGACTAAACTATATGCTGCCTATAAGAAACACATTTTAAATGTAAGAATGCAAATAGGATAAAAGTAAAAGGATGGAAAAAGACATACTGTGCTAACATTATTCAAAAGAAAGTGGGATTGGCTATATTAATTTCAAAGTAGATTTCAGAGCAAAGACCATTACCAGGGATAAATTCATCTAAAGGACAATATGCACCTAACAGAGTTCCAAATTACGTATTATAGCAAAAACAGAACTGCAAGGAGAAATATACAAATCTACAATTATAGTCAGAGATTTCAATACCCCTCTTTCAGTCACTGATAAAACAAGCAGGCAGAAAATTAGCAAGGACATCACAGAATTTAACAACACTATCAACCACTTGACCTGACTGACATTTATAGAATACTCCACCCCAAAATAACAGAATACCCATTCTTTTCAAGTATACATGGAACATTTACCAAGACAGGCCATATTTTGGGCCATAAAACAAGTCTCATCAAATTTTAGTCTTTGCCCACAACAGAATTAGAAATCAGTAACACAAGGATCCTTGAAAAAAATTCCCTAATACTTGCAGACTAAATACATGCATCAAAAAAGAAATCAAATGGATATTAGAAAGTATTTTGAACTAAATGACAATGAAAACACAACATATCAAAATTTGTGGGATACTGTTAAAGCAGTACTTAGGAAGAAATTTATAGCACTGAACTCCTGTATTAGGAAAAAAAAGGCCTCAAATAAATGGACTAAGTTTCCACCTTAAGACACTATTAGAATAAATGCACAGGCTTGGAGTTGGAGAGAGGGGGGTACAACAGACAACTGTTAGTTTTGTTGCTTGGTATCCCTTACCATGGGAAATGGTTCTTCCCTCATCACCCATTCCATGTGAATCTGGTGGGGCTGGAACTTATAGCAGCCAACACCCTTAGAGTATGCAGCCTGTAACAGTACTCTTATCGCCCTGGATATAGTGACTGGTTCAAGATGTGCAAAAGGTAATCCAAGCTGGGCCCATCAGGGACTTTTCCTGAGTCTTATCTCTATTAAATATACTGAAGTAGGGGAAGTGATGTTTTTGTTTCCTCTAGGCTTTCCTCACTGGCTAATGTAAGCCTAGAGCAGTTTGTGCCATGCCCTCCCCACCTCTCCCATAGGGAAGACTCTTGACAATGGGACACAATGGGCCAGAGAGAAGCACAGTGGAGAAAGGGAGAATCCTAAGGCTATCCTTTGAGCCCTTGGATCTATCCAGGTTGGAAGCCAAACTGCTCCTTTCCTGGGTGACTTCCGAGCAAATCAATTCCCCTTGGGGAAACCACTCGGCTCAACCCATTTGGGGAAGTTGCCTCACCTCAGACCCCTAAGTCTTTCAAGAAATTCAAGAGACAGGACAACAGGACAATGGCATATTTATTTACAATTGGACCAAAAAAGGCATACAGGCATTTTTTTTTAATTAAAAATAATAATGATGATGATTAAAAAAGTCAGAAAAATCGATAATGTTTAAACACCTTATAAGGAGTCCATTTTCCTACTCCCCCCAAAAGAGAATCTCTTAGGGGGAAAAACCCCAAGATTTGAATAAACAAGACTCCATTATCATTCTCTTACTATTTGGGTGCCCTTTTCTCCAACCTGATTCTTGGTGGCCGCCGCTTGGCACTGCGGAGTTACTGTGAGGCAAGGTTGGGAAGTTCACCGGTTTGATTGGTAGAGCTGGTAAGGGCTGCTGGAAGAATCCGGGGAGGGGAGGGGGTAGGATGTGTTCCTAGCTTAACCAGCATCCTGAGCTTTGTCCTGTGGTGGGATTCCCAAAGGAGCTGGGGCAAAGGTGAGTGGCTGTTCCTTAAACCGTAATCCCAGGGTAGGTTTGGTCTCTTGCAATTTAAGGGCCAGTGTTTGTGACATGCACGGGGTAGGCAGGAGGTTGGCTCTAAGGGTGGGGATTCATGGAGGAGCCAGGCCTGCCATGTTAGCTCCCTCTTTCTAACTTGGGGAGACTGGGCTCCTTGTCTATTCCTGGGAAATGGGGAATGACAGAACTTACCTTCCATCTCCCTTCTCACCAGCAATTTTCTGGGTGTCCCTCAAAGGAAGCAAGAACTCAGATGGGAGGCGGAGAGGGAAGACGGGATGGGTCCAGCTAAAAGGGCCGTGCACGAGCACTGAGGCTGGGGCATGTCAGGGAGGGGGTGCCTCTCCCCAGCCACTGAAAGGAAGGGATCTTGTTCTGCCCTAGAGGTGGGAAAGGAGGGGTCTCTCCACCAGCACTTTGTTACGAGCAGCAACCCCCCGAGGAAGGGGCTGGGGAGCACTCCTGAGGGGTAAGGACCCTCAGCCCAGACAGACAGACAGACAGACAGAGACACGTGGACGCTTGGCTGGGCTCTGGAAATACTGGCCCCAGATCCAGGGCTTCTTGGCACAAGAACAGTTCAATGCAAGTCTCTTCCCTGGTCCAGCCAACTCCCGCTGCTCTGAGCAGGGCTGAATCCTGCTGTCCGGGGGCACCTGGCCTCCAGCACATCCATGGGATTTCCTTGTAGCAACCAAGATGGGGTCTTGCTTCTGGTGACAAGAGGCCTGATGGAAGCCCTGCCTTGGGCAGCCCTGGGAGGAGGCTGGGAAGGACAGAAGAGGAGGGGAAAGGGCTGGTAGAGGCTGGTTGGCACTGAGAATGCATGTCAGGACTAGAGTGTGCTTGTCACGGCGTCAATGGCGAGGGCAGGCGGCAAGAGGCTCGGAAACCTCACTGAAGCCCAGAAGGCTCGGCGTGTCCTTTTCCAGTTAGTCGTGGGTGGCCAACAGCCCTGAGGAACTGAGGTGGAGACAGTGACCAAAACCCAGTGTCTCGGTGGATTTGTCCACGCTGGATCCATTTGTTAAAAAAAAAACTAAGGAAAAACTCCAAATGAAAAACAAACTTGGATAAACAGGTCCGAGAGTTCCTGCTGGAGGGAACTTTCTTAGCACTGAAGAAAAAACAACGCACAAAAACCTCATCCCTCACGGAACTGGAATAAGATGATGAAGAAAAATGCAAGATTTATCTATAGGCCCTCCCGCCCCCCACGCAGCCCCAGGATCCAGGAACACTGTGCCAGGAGTTACATTCCAAACGAGCAGGAGTTATTTTATTTTGCGTGCCTGCAGTTCTCCACGCAGGGTGGCTTCCTGTCCGTGGATGAAGTGGGCCTGGCCACGGTCCACCCGCATCAGTCTATCTTCACAGCAGCATAAATCTTGCGGACAAACATGTAGGCTGCATAGAAGCCGATGGTGCCCGTGAGGAGCCAGAAGGACAGGACCATGAGGGCCGTGTAGCCAAAGTACAGGAGCGAGGGGATGAACTCGACGATGTCCAGCTGCAGCACGAGCAGGGGAGAGAAGGGGTGGCTGCTTAACGCCAGCCTGCCATGGCCAACTGGGCCCCGCTGCCCCACCTCATCACTGATCTGGTGGCGACGCTGAAGCCTGGCGGGGACAGGGGCTTACTCCCGGTGAGCAGTGAGGGGCAGGCAGGGCCCACGGCCATGGCGAACCTTCATCCGTACGAGGGCCTGCGCACTGCCTTGGGTTCTCACGACCACCATGGTAAGTTATTAGCACCCACAGTTATATGGCTATGAAGCAGAAGGAGCTGGGATTTGAACCTGGGGCTAGAGGGCTAGGAGTCCAGGGCTAACTCCACTGCCCCAGGCCATTTCTGGCAGGGGTACGAGTCGTCTGGGGTGAGGGACTGGGAGCGCACTGGGAGGCAGGTAGTGACCTCAGGGGTCAGAATGCAGTAGGTAGAATGGCCACATCTGTGTGACTTCTTCACCCTCCACAGTCCCCAGAACAGTACAGTAACATTCCTAGATGGCTGGAACACCAGGGAGTGGGGAGACGAGAGAGGTGTCCAAGGTTTCCAGCTTAAGGACCAGAGTCACCACACGTCGCCCCAGGCTACAGTCCTCTCCTCCTGAGAATGCTTCTGTCACTTTTGTTAACATCTCACAGGGATTTTATCTTAGAGCATTTTGGACTCCTTGGCAGCGTTCAGAGGCCTGGGCAGCAAGGCCAGGGATCCGTGTTGTGATGTTTGTTGGGCCAAGTGGAGCTAATCTAGAACCTTGGTATTAAGACCTGCCCAGCACAGCAGGGCCGGAGTGGGGCCTGTTCCAGGGTTCACGGGCAGACAGATGGTCACAAAATGCCAAGAGCCCAAAAGAAAACAATAAAGGTCACTGTTCTGAGACTGTCTTCCTAAGGTCAAACATTTTCAACCTGGGGGTGAAGGCCATGTTTTCAGGCTCAACCCCCATCTCTCCTTCCCTACGCTTTCTCATGGCTGGAGAGGGGGTGAGGGTGATGGGAGGTGGGGTAGGGGACAGGGCAGTGGTAAATTGGGGGGTAAAACCCAGGAAGAGATGAAGCAAAACGGCAGTGCTAGAAAGGCCCTTTGAGTTCAGACATGCCAAGGCCATCATTTTATAAACAAGGCTCTGAGGCTGGAGGAGGAAATTTTTGGAACAGAGAAGAATGGAGCAGAGGGAAGAAGGACAGGAGGCTTTGATGTGACCCCAGGGGGGCGGGTGAGTGCCTGTGGTGGTTAGGTTTTCTTTGTCCAATGCTGTCTCACGTCTTCTTTCTGCCCGGTGCCTTGGGGTACCCAGTCCCGACTTTGTGGTCCTGTTAGGGCTGTCATTCCTAGTACGAAACCTAGTTCGTCAGTCAGAGTACTGGACCTGAGGAACAGTGAGGGATGGCATGTAACCGGGGCCAGTAAGAGTCTTCCCTGGGATTGATAATATGGTGGTAGAAGAAAGACATTTTTTTAGCTCCAGCGCTGCAAAACTGAAGAGAGGAGACTCTAGCGCTGCCATTGGCCATCTTTCTACTTTGTGGAAAAATCCTGTCAGCAGTCTGAAGCCAAGAAAACACACACAGAACTGAGGCATGGACACAGAATCCTGACATCACTTGAGATGCTGGATCTAACCATTCCTGAAGCCAGTTACATCAGTCAGTACATTCTCTTTTTGCTTAAGCCATTTGGAACTGGCTTTTGGTCACTTTCCACTGAAAAGAGTTCTGATTAATAAGGGCTATGTGGGGGCAGGGTGGGGGGGAGGGGAGATTAGATTTGTTCTGGACGATTCCAGGAATACTAGTCTGATGATGGAAGTTACAGGGAGGGGGATTTCAGTTCAGTGATAATGACAGGAACTATCCAAAGAGAGGATGGGAGTGTCAGGAGGGAGTGTCTTCTGTCACTGGATGTGCTACAGCATGGGTCAGCAAACTCTTAGAGGGCAAATTATAAATAGTTTAGGTTTTACAGGCCTTACGGCCTCTGTTGAAAATACTCAACTCTGCCACTGTGAAAGCAGCCATAAATGATATGTAAAAGGAGGAGCATGGCTGTGTTCCAATAAAACTTTATTGACACAAACAGGCTTGCTGGCCCCATGGATTACAGTTTGCTGACCCCTGAGCTAGCTGATCACTTACTGGAATCATTAGAAAAGAGGCACTGTCAGTAAATTGGAAATGGGTAGAGCACTGCACTAAATGATCCTCACAGCCCTTTCCACTCTGACATTTTTGGGAAAGAACATTCCAAGCCTCAAACCAACTGACTTATGACCCAAGTTTGGGAATACACCCTGGTTGCAAGCAGAGGACGGCCTGCTTTTGGGTTTTGGAAACCCAAAGAACAGCTGGTGAGAACAGGTCTGCAGTATTAAGCCTCGGAGCTGAGGGGTCCACCAGAGCACCCAGACTCCTCTAGTGGCCCACCTGGTTTGTGTCATGCGTGAATCTACCAAAACTTTCGTGGGGATGTTTATATTCTTATTCACGCCACTCTTTGGGACAACAGGCTCTGTGCATATGCCTGAGCCAGTGAGCCAGCCTCCCTTTCATTCACCCACACTTGCCCTGTATGGCTCACACAGCACAGACGCTCCAAGATGCAGGCAAAGCCCTGGCCCATCCTGTCCTTTTTGTGAGGGACCGAATGGTACTTGAATGAAGAAGGGAAGGAAGCCTGCAGAGCTAGGAGGATGCCTGAGGTCCTAAATTTGGGTACTAAAGGCTATTTCAGCATCTTCTGCTTTCATCTTTATTAACTCTTCTCATTTACCTGCTTTACTCTTTCATGTTATCTTTTTCCCCTCTAGATTCTTGCAGTGAATACTGTATTATCAGTCTCTCTTATTTCCTATTAAAAGCGTTGTAAGGTGATATATTTCCTTTAAGTACCCCTTTGGTTCTATGTCACAGGTTTGGCATGTAATATTCTGTTATATATTCTGAAGGCTTTTGTCTCCCCAATGTACAGGACACAGATTCTCTCTTTCCTAAAAAGAGGCATGTTTTAGAGAAGAAACAGTTCTACGCTGGCACTGATCTCCCCACTCTTGGTAAGAAAGTGAGATTCAAACACTTGAGTTTTCCCCCAGCTCCCTCCTCTTCACCGTCCTTTCCTGAAAGGGTTAAAGGGCTCCCTCACACAGGTACCTTGTTAACAAAATAAAAGATGGCATAGACAAGCACGTAGAATGCAGATCCCCCGGAGACTAGGAAGTTCCTCCACCACCAGCGGTAATCCTGAGGAGGAAACAGAGGCTCAGGGGTCTCCAGGCAGAGCTTCTTCCCCCAGTTCCACAGTTGCCCAAGGGCCTAAAGACTCTGAGTAAGAACAGTAATGTTTGGGGTGATGGGAATGTTTTATATCTTGACTGTGACGTTGGTCTCACAACTGTTATGCGTTTTTAAAAAACAGAACTATAGACTAAAGAGGGTGAACTTTACTGCTTATAAATTAAACCTCAATTTTAAAAAAATCAATAACAAAAAAACAGTAATAACTAACGTTTCTTGAGCAAATGCTCCCCATGTGCCAGGCACCATTCTAAATGCAATCTGTGAATCAGCTGTTTCATCCTTTTAGCAGCCCTGAGTCAGGTCCTACTGTTATCCTTGTCACATGAGGAAGGCACAGAGAGGTTAAGCAACTGCCAACCAGAGCCACTAACGGAGGAGCCAGCTGAATAAATGGAGGCTCCACAGAGAGGTTAAGCAACGTACTTGCCTAAGACCGCATGGCCAGAAAGGGGGGTGGACGGGAATCACATGGGAAGCCCAGACGGCCTCACTGACCCACTCAATGCTGGATCCTGCGCCCCCCACCCCCAACTCCTGGCCCCATTCCCCTCACCTCTGCACACAGCTGGAAGTACACCATGACGATGCTGATTTGTGAGCAGGACACCACCAGGATGATGAAGACGAGGAACAGGAAGCCAAAGAGGTAATAGAACTGATTCTCCCAGATTGCCTGTGGACACACCACAGCTGGCCTTCAGCTAGCCTGCCTTCACCCAGCGCCCTTCCCCTGGCATACCCAGCCTGTTCTCTGGACGCCAGCCCTCAGTCAGGACTAGCATACCTCCTGTCAGCAGGGCAGGAATGGGGACACCATCACAATGCCACAGAGGCCTGTGGGCCTGGCATATGGCTCCGATGGCCCCTCCTCCCTGGAGCAGAGGGTGAGCCAGGCTGTTCTCAGGGAGTGGCTGGGACAAGGCGGACCCTGCGATGGGTGGGCTCCAGCCTGAACATGGCAATGTGTGGAAAATAATGAATCCTACCCCCAAAATTACACAGCAGCCACCACCACTTAGGGGCAGCTTACCACATGCCAGGCAAGCTAGATGCTTCATGGTCATCTCCACATGTGAACCTATGAAAGTGTGGACTTCTACAGCTGAGGAAGTCAAGGCTCAGAGAGGCTGGTGATGGGCCCAGGGTCACACAGAGAGAATGAGGTGGCCTCCATGGGAAAGCAGCCAACCCCATCCTCTGACCCTCATCCTAGGCAGGCTGGGTGGGTGCGGGGACCTCAGCAGGGAGGGGCTGGACTACTCCCGAGCAGTAGGTCCTGGTCCAGCACTTACTTGATGTGAAGCACTCTCTGTGCTGGGCACTGAGCTGGTGGTCAGCTACAATTAGATGGCTGTCACGAACCCTACTGCCAACTTTCACCTTGGCATGCCTGGGACAGGAGCCGTCATCATCACAACCACAGCTACCATTTAATATGCATATCCCGAATGCTAGGCACTGTGACTTTCAGAGACATTATCACAGTCCAGCCTCACAATGAGCCTGGGAATTAGGCCTCAGTACCCCCACTTTCCTGAGTTTTGAGTAACTCAGGTAAAGCTGTGTAGGGACCCGGAAATCAAAGCAGATGCAACAATCCTATTAATAATGGTGGCGAATGATTGCAGTATTACTGAGGCAGCTTCTTTTGACTGAGCCCTTCCCATACACCAGACCCTGTACACATGCCGTATCTCATTTAACCTTCCAAGCTGTCCTGAGAGGCGGGACTATTAGCCCACGTGAGGGCGAAGTATGGGGGCTCCGAGAGGTTAAATGGCCTGCCTGAAATTTCACAGGTAGTAAGAGGCAGAGCATCTAAGTGGAGACCAGGCAAGCGGGGGTGAAGGCTGTGTGTGTGGAGAGGCGGGGAGCAGGCAGCAGTACTCACACTGAAGATGAAGAAAAGCTCGATGAACATGGCGCCGAAGGGCAGGATCCCGGCCATGAGAATGCTGCAGCAGGACGGGGAGGTTAATGCTGCAAGGAGACCCGGGCCACCGAAAGCCCCTGATTCCTACCCCAGCCAGCCCGACTGACAGAGCTTCCAGGGTGTGGTGGTTCTAATTCTTTTGGCATGCTTTTGTACCGTTATAGCCTCTTGTGAGGTAGGCAGGGGGGGCATCAGTCTCTTCACTTTACAGATGGGGAAACTGAGGTACAGAGAGGTGGGGTGACTTGCCTGAGGTCCAAGGGATGGATCTTAACCTGTCTCACTGCACCCTTCCATCCCTCCCCTGTCCTGGTTCCTAGGCCGACACCAAGTCTGGCTACAACTTGATCCTCTGTCTTGGAGTGAAGCTAAACTTTCATGAAGTCCACTAGAGCCGGCTGAGCTGCAGAACGCCAGTCATAGCCTCCTCAGGGTCCTCCTAAGGAGATGGCTCAGGGCAGAGTTGGTCTCACATGCTTTGGAAGGCCCCTACTGGAGACTTACCCCACAAATCGGTTCATGTACCACCGCTGTTCAGGGATCTGCCGGGGAATCTGGTTGGTGCGCACAGGGTTGTCATACGGCTGCTTGCGGAAGCCGAAGTAGTAGCCCAGGTAGACGAGGGGCAGGGAGATCCCAAACCACATGCACAGCAGGGCGACCATGGTGGGGAAGGGCACCTGTGGGCACAGCACCATGAGGCCCCACATGGCCCTGATGCCCAGGCTGGGGGCTATGCAGGGGGGACAAGGACCTTCTGGGCTCCCAGATAAAGACAGGCACAGCAGGACTACCATGGGGGTGTGGGCAGGTCCTACAAACACACCCTCACAGGACTCCTGGCCAGGACCTCCTGGAGCTGACCCCACCCCTAGGGAAAAGCGGTGTGCAGACGGTGGACCATTTGGGCTGTGAGGATAAAACCACGGCATCCCAGAGTTTGTCACCCAAGGAGGAAGTGGGGAAAGAACAGGAAAGAAAGGAAGTGAGAACATGAAGGGAAGAAGAGGCCAGAATGAAGGGAAATTACATGGTCAGTGAAGAAAAAAAAGGGAAAAAACAAAACTGCACAAAGAGTGCGTTCCTCATTTTGTTAAAATAAAACCCCACAATATACTACTAAGTAAATGAAGCAGGTTATAAAACTGTATGTTTAGAACTCCAATTTAATAAAAACACCCCAATATTTATATGTATAAGTGCCTAGAAAGGCCTATGTTAGAAAGTTAACAGTACTTCCTCGGCTGGGAAATGGGGGATTAGAACTAATTTTTCATTTTCTTTATCTTCTTCTCCAAAGTATTATGTTTTTATAAGAATCATATAAAAAGGAAGAAATAAATTAATATATGTCAAGTGTTTAGAACAGGACTTATTCCAAAGTAAGTTCCATATAAATATTTGCTGCTATACTCTATAATTTTTAAATTACATCATTTAAAAAAAAATAAATCCAAAAAAACAAAAACAAACAAACGAAGAACACATAGTAAAGATCACATAGTATTTATCTCTGGGCGGTTGGATTGTGGGTTATTTCTGACTTCTTCTTCAGCTTCTCTGTACTTTCCAAAATTTGTACAATGAGCATTCATAGTGAGCAGCTGGTAATTGGGAGAAAAATGTTGAAAGAGAGAAGGAACACAGGTATAAAGAGGAAGTGAGAGGAAGAACGTGATTTTGTCTTTCCTGAGGGCGGCTTCCTGGACTGCTGGAAAGAACCCCGTCCTCTGGGGACCCAGGCTAGAAGCCTCACCCAAGAACCCTTAGGGGTCACCTGCAGGTGGAGAGGAGGCGGCTCTACCCACTGTGGCTGAGACGGCAAATGCCTGCCTCGCTTCTACCGCAGTCCTGCTAATCGATCAAGACCCCATTTCCCCACCACAGAATGAGTTCACAATTCTGCTCAGAGTCCTGGGCAGCTGCCAGCAATGACTGGGGCTGGCAGGGTCCTGCTCTGAGGACAGGACAACCTGCAGGGGCTGGTGCCGAGGGGCAGGGACATTTGGAAGAAAGCCTTGTTTTAGGATACTGACCTAACAAACTCACACCAAGCAGCTTTCCCCTGGTTGAGATGAAGGGAAATTCCCCAGTTGGCCCCTGGACTGTGGAAACCTCCCCATAGAGAAGTGAGCTTTGGCCAGCTGTCTGCAAGAGCCCACCGGAAGGTCAGGTCACAGGCAGATGGATGGGCAGGGCTGGGGAAACCCCAGCCAGCCCTCAGCCCCTAGGGCTGGGAACAGAACTTTCGGGACTCAGAAAAGGGAAGGGAATGGCAGGAAGTGACCTGCAGGAGCGGGGCTGAGCACAGCTGGCCCTGTCACTGGGGAGGGCACTTACCGCTCCTGATGAGTGCTTTCCCCAGATGAAGCAATTCAGTACAAAGCAGATACCGAAAACCACACCAGGGTACAGCGTCGCTGTCTGGAAGCAAGAGAAGCCAGGTTGGGGAGCTGCATCTAGGTGGCTCCCACCTGTCCCACTGGGGCCCCCAGACTAGAAATTCTCAACCCCTCCTTGTTCTCCAGGACCCAGCTCAAGGATCATTCCCCCCAGAAAGCGTTCTCTGATCCCCATACTAGGCAGGCCCCGTTCTCTATTCCGGTTAGATCCCTGAACTGCCCCTTCCTTGCCCTCATCCTAGTGTAATTCCCAGGCACAGAGCACCAAAGTCCCAGGCCTACATTGAGCCTCTTACCGCTTGGCTACCTGAGCGTCCAGGAAGGTCACTGATCACAATGCCTGATGCCCTGTGCAATCTGGCATTCAACCTCAGCTGCCAGTGTCACCTTTGGTCCACAGCCCTCCAACACACTAGCTGGTCACCACTCTAGCATGTCGCTGTCCCTGGGCCTTTATGTAGGTAATCAACACCTCAGGGTCTCAACCTCCTGAGTGCTAATGTTGTACCAAGGGCTTTTCATGTTCCATCTCTTTCCACCCACACAACAACCCCCAGGGGCAGCTCAAATGTCATCTCCTCCCTTCCTCCTTTACTCTGCCATGTAGCAGGAATTCCTCGTCTGCCTTCCTGGCTAAAATTTATGGACTAGACACTGTGATAGATACCAGAGGTAAGAACAAGAAACAAGTTCCAGGGAGGGAAGACAGATCCACAAATGGGGAGTAACACACATGGCGTGCCTTGCAGGCTCCTCTAGGGCACCAGGGAGGACACGGGATGGGGGAGGGGAAGATCCTAGAGGCGTGACACAAGGAGAGTGCGGGGTGGCGTGCCCAGGCAGGGAGGATGGCAGAGGCCGGAGGAGAGATGGCTGGTTGTATGCCCACTGCTGCGGGCTGCAGTAGATGCCCCCCTGTGGAGGGAGGCAGAGCACCAGGGAAGGGTCAGAACCTTGCAGGGAGGCCAGGGGGGCCTAGGGCAGTCAAGGGTCCAAGTGAGAGGCGAAGATGCTAAACCTGGGCGAGAGTCCTGGAATATGGAGATGGTAGGAAATCTGTGGACTATTTGGCAGGAAAACCCTCAACGCTTGGTATCTGAGAGGAGGTAGGGCATGAGGAAACAGAAGGAGCAAAGGAAGCTACCCAGGTGTCTGGTTTGGGGGCCACCAGATGCAAGGAGTGGGTTTAGGGGAGAGAAAGTGGGTCTGGCACGGGACCTGCTGAGGGAGATCCTGGAGGGTATCTGTTGGGAGGCTTCGCAAGTGAAGCGCCTCACCGGGGAGGAGAAGGCGGGGCTTTACACCTCTATAGATTGCACACAGTCACTTGAGAAAAATGCTTATGCGTCAAGAATTCTGGAACCTTTGTGGATCCTTCCAGAATAATCACCATCACAGCTCTTCCATACTGAGGGTTTACTATGTGCCAGGGCTATGGCAGCCAGAGCTGAAACAGTCTGAGCTCCCCTTCCAATAGGCTTCCAATAGCTGTGAGAATGAATTTAGAACAACAAATCCTGTTATTCTGAATCCATTTCTTCTCTTGCTCAACACATCAGACAATGTAGGCTAAAAGTCACCTAAACTCAATCCCTCCATTTTATGGATGCGCCAACCAAGGCCGTAAGAGGTGCCGCTGAACTTGTGGGTAAGAGCCCAGCACTCCTGACCCCTGGGTGTGCTCCTCCCTAAAACCCTCCCAAGACCTGCCTACTGCTCCTGAGGAACCTGGGAAGAAGCTTCTCAGCTCCCCACCCACACCGGGAGGAGGTTGAGAACACTTACACAGAAGGCGCCTTTCTTCCACCGGTGGCCTTTTAGAGTGCGGTACAGGCGGCCAGCAGAAAATCCACCAAACACCCTGTGGGAAACGGCAGGGGTCCAGAACCAAGGGACCTGTTAGCTGGAGCACAGGGGGCCTGTGCCAGGCCCCAGGAGCCCACTCAGACACACTTACCCCATGAACATGAAGAGGAAGCAGGCCGTGGTCATGAGAGCTCCCCGGCTGGAGGGCGACAGCATCCCAAGCATGGCCACAACTGTGGAGGGATGGGAGCAGGAGAGTCACAGGAGCTCATCGCCAGGGCCCCAGCCCCTAGCCCCCATCCCAGGTTGGCTGACGGGGCCCTGGGCAGGTGAGGCAAGATGAAGCTCTGTTCTCCCTCTCAACAGCATACTCCCTTCCACTCGACAGAAGACGGGGTCTTAGCTGGGTTTCAGACGGGTACAGTGTCTGCTGGGCCTTGGCTGGCTGCATCTTAACTGCAGTTTCCAGCCCACAGAGCACTTGTAACCAACCAGACACTGAGCTGAGAGCATTACGAGCACCAGTT